GTGTGTATGCATTTATGTATATATACGTATATGTATATGTATATATATATATATATGTGTGTGTGTGCGTGTGTGTGTGTATGTATATATGCATATATATAATGTACTTGCAACAATATACTCGATATGCGCATCTGGTTGCTCAGTGCTGACGCACTCATCATAGGCCATGCCCAGAGCGATTGTAGTATTGTCAAGCACCTGCGTTACTCTTATCTTACGTGGCTCATGTGTGGATCCTTGTTATGTGTACCTACAGCGACTGCATTATCGTATATACACACGTGCACACTACCATTATTACTATACCCGTGTACACTACCATTACTCCTACACCTGTGCACACTACCATTATTACTACACCCGTGCACACTACCATTATTACTACACCCGTGGCTCATGGGAGGATCCTTGTTGTGTACACCTGCAGCGACTGCATCATCGTCAAGTACATGTGTGAGACGGTGTCGCTGCGTGCTGCTAATCTGGCAGCGTGTTCGTTGGCGGCGGTCTTTGAGCACTTGGAGTTGGAGAGGTATGTCTAGTGCACGCGATGAAGAAATAAGGAGTGGGTGTGTGTTCTTCTGAGCTGAGTCTCTAGAGTGCATATGAATGTTAGGTGATATGTGGATAAGTATCTGACCGGCGTTTCACTGCTGAGCTGCATTGATTGGTGCGGTTTGGGATTCAAGCAGCACCACCAGATACGTTCCCCGTGGCCCTGTGTATAAGTGTAAACCAGGTTTATATGTGTGAAACGTGGTCATGTGCATAAGCGTTAACCAGGTTTACGTGTGCGGAACGCCACCATGTGCATAAGTGTAAACCAGGTTTACAAGTGTGCAACGTGGCCCTGTGTATAAGTTTACAAGTGATTTGACCCGAGGTGAGCAGTGGGTCTCATGCCAAACCCCTCGACAGTCTCTCTTTTCTGTGTGATCAGCCGCACATACCCTGTACCCGTAGTATTGCATCTTCCGCTGCCCATACAATGCACCACACGGTGCACTATCGCACACATGGCACTGAGCTCCGCTGTGTGTGGCCCCATTGGGCGAGTCACTCGCAGTGCCCAGTGGCGTCTGCATGGCCACCCACGTGGCTTTCGCTTTAGTGTCCTCACGTTGTCTGTGCAGCCCTACTATTGTTGAATCCGACCCTTTCAGTGGCTTGGGTTTAGGGTTCTAATACAACCCATACTACCAGTGTGATCTAAGCCAATCAAAGCATAGAGCGTTCAGTGTTATGCGTGGTTTGTAGATAGAGCATTTCAGCCGCTCGAAGCGCAAGCGCTGTCGCTACCACCGCCAACACTTGCCCCAAAGCCCTAATTTATATTCCGGGTGCGCACGTGCAGGATGAATGTGGCCCTGGCCGGTGAGGTGCACACCCTCACCCCCGGATTCCGGTCGCATGTCATGGCGGGGTTGGACCGGTTAAACGGTTCGTATATGAACCAGATCAAACTCAAGCGTGACCGTCAAGCCAGAGAGCTCATAGGGGCTGGCAGTGGCGCACTCAGTACATACCACCACTCGTTCGGTTCGGTACCTCAGCCGAAGGAGAAGACGGAGACTGGGCAGGGGATAGAGACGACGACGACGCACCCGACAGCGAACACGCGGGACAAGCGGCAGCAACAACTCGAACAGCAGGAACTGGAGGACCATTACGAATCCAGTGGTGTGTTGAGTGTGGGCATGCGTTGTGGTGTGTGTTGAATGTGCCGTGCTCTGGGGTGTCCGTCTATTCAAGGTGTGGGTAGGTGAAGTGGGTGCGTGTGCGTGTGCGCATGCGTGTGCGTGTGTGTGCGCATGCGTGTGCGTGTGTGTGTTCATACAAGCATGGAGACACGAGGATGTGCTTTGGGGAAGCGGCGAGTGCCTATGTTTGGAACGTGTATGATCTGCTGGATATGATCTGTTGTACTATGTAGACTCGATCGTGACCACTACATGATATGATATGAGACATGCGTTGTATATTATTACAACTGCATATTATGATATGTGACATGTGTTGTATATTATTACAACTGCATGATAGATACAAGACATGTGTTGTATATTATTACAACTGCATGATATAATATGAGACATGTGTTGTATTTTATTACAACTGCAAGATATGATATGAGACATGTGTTGTATATGATTACAACTGCGTGATATAATATGAGACATGTGTTGTATGAAATTACAACTGCATGATATGATACAAGACATGTGTTGTATATTATTACAACTGCATGATATGATATGAGACATGTGTTGTATGAAATTACAACTGCATGATATGATACAAGACATGTGTTGTATATTATTACAACTGCATGATATGATATGCCCCATGTATTCTATATAATGGCACCGTAGTCTCACCGCCTTGATAAGTGCCGATTAGATTGGATATCTGCAAGGCGTATGCAGAATTGCGTCCCTTTCTGGTTTATGTTCCTCCCATACCAAGTGGGATCCACACCTATTGTGGATGTGCACATCACTACGTTGTTAAACACACACATGGCCTTTAGCTACGCTATCCATGCTGTCGAGTTTTATCTTTGCTGACCCGAGTATACATCATCCGTTTGCTTTGCTTTGCTCAACCCAAGTTTACATCATCCGTTTGCTTTGCTTTGCTCAACCCAAGTTTACATCATCCGTTTGCTTTGCTTTGCTCAACCCAAGTTTACATCGTCCGTTTGCTTTGCTTCTGCTCAACCAAAGTTTACATCATCCGTTTGCTTTGCTTCGCTCAATAAAACCCTACTACAGATCCCCTGCAATGCCACTCATGAGCTCAGCCCGAAGCTCGGCAGACCCCGCACACTCAACCACACCTTCTTTACATTCGCCAACCAATACACGCAGACGATGAAGGGGACCACAACGCACCTGCACCCGGTCCTGCACCTGCCACATCGGGTGCAATAGATAGTATAGCTGAGCTGGCCTCACCAGCACGCCTTAACCCGGCCAAGAGTTCACAGCCAATGAGGCCGTCGCCTGTGGTCAGGCGGTTGGACATTCTTAAGAAACGAGAGAGCTTCACCATGTTCCGTCGTGAGAGTTCTGATAGCAGGTACATGTGTGTGCATGTTTCCGCATGTGTATATGCCTGTGTGTGCATGTTTCTGTGTGTGCATGTTGATACTGTGTGTACGTCACTGGAGTCTTGTCGCCATTTGAACCCTTATGCGTTCGTGAGACTACGCGTCTGTCCCACTCCCATGGCCATTGCCGCGCCCCCTTTGCAATTGACCCTTTGTAACTGCTCATTGTGTTTGTGTTGGGTGCGTCATCTGTACGTTCGTTGGGTGTGTGTGCTGTGATCTACTGATAGCAATTCGCGAGTGTCCGTGATCCTATGGTCTGACACAGCTCAACTACATTTCCCCGCATACCCATTCGAATCTCTCTCCTATCCCCTAAAACCCTAGCCCGAACCCCTAAACCGCTTATATCCCTAAAACTCTACCCCTAAGATCTACCCCCTAAAATTCCTAACCCCCCCCCCCCTCCAAAAAAAAACAAAATTAGGAATGCTTCGCTACTGAATGCTGAGGCGGTTGCGGCGGTTGGGTCTGGGCGCATTCATCCCAACTCAGTGAAGGGCGAGAGTGCCAGTTTAGGAGCGGCGGTGGTGGCGGCTGAGATCATCACCAGGCAGAAGCAATGAGTCATCTACACACAAGACATATGTATCCACAGGACTTACACGCTTGTGAATGTAGCATGCGAGGGTTTTAATAAATGTACATACTCTAGTCTACCACGCACGACACTTCTCACAGCACCTTTCAGCTACACACTATACATCTAAATCGACAGAACTTATAACTTGTGAATGTAGCATGCGAGGGTTTTAATAAAGGTACATACTCTAGTCTACCACGCACGACCCTTCTCACAGCACCTGTCATCTACACATAATACATCTAAATCGACAGAACTTATAATTTGTGAATGTAACATACGAGGGTTTTAATAAAGGTACATACACTAGTCTACCACGCACGACCCTTCTCACAGCACCTGTCATCTACACACAATACATCTAAATCGACAGAACTCATAACTTGTGAATGTAGCATGCGAGGGTTTTAATAAAGGTACATACTCTAGTTTACCACGCACGGCCCTTTTCACCGCACCTAGACCGTAGCATTGAGTCTTTTACCCCCAATCCTAGGCGTAGGGCCGTGTTGCACCTACCTACTTACCCACGTGACTACCGCATGGCAAATGGAGTGTGCCATGGTGTCCTGTTGTGTCGCCATTCTCTATTGCACCTTCTCCCCACAATCATCCATCGCGCGCACTCTCCTTCTCTGTGCTCACCGCTCTCTCTCTTGTGCTACGCTGTGGGCTTGTGGGCTGTGTTTGTCGCTCGAAGTCATGTGCCCAGTGCATGTGCGTGTATTTCATATGTGCGTGTCTGTTGTGGCTGTATTCTGCGGCTCGCTTAGTACTCATACATCTTACAAGTAAAGATCTTCCCCATCGGATTAGGGCCATTTGCCAGTGACGTATAAATAGCCACGGGTTGTCCCCAGTTCACACTTGCAGGAGTCTGTTTTGGCCCGTGTATATATAATCTCAGGTGCAACAAGCGAATTAAATCACAAGGCGCAACAAGCGAATCAACTACGCTCACCTTGCCGTGTCTCGGGCTGTGCTTGTATTGGTGGTATGTGATAGCTGGGTGCATGAGGTCTTCCCCGTAGGGTCTTGGGTTTATCTGAAAGGTACATCCCAGCCCATGGCCCTTGTGGTGGCAGAATGAATTGTTCCGGAGACCAGAGGGCTCTGTTATACGTCTGTATGGTTTACTGGTGCCTTGAGTGTGCATTTTTATAGCAAACCCCCCCCCTCACAATTCCATATAACTGTAAGGTGAGCTATACGTACGTCCGGTTTCCTCCGATAGTTGTTTGCTGCATGTTGCTGGTGCTTCCTCGTGCACGTCTCTTGTGCGTGTAGGTAGTCGATTGGATAGCATTGCTCTCCATGAAGCAATGGATAGCAAGACGCCACTTCACGTAGAGCTTTCTAGCAGCACATAATGCTATGCTTGGTTCGAACTTTGTCTCGAGAAAGGCGTTGTGAAGACCTCATGCCCTGCAACGCACCACCCTCTTCTACTGATCCAACTTGCATTGTGAGTATACATATTGCAGCAACTGTCCACATCGCACACGTACCTTCCGTGCTCTGTCCTATAGTCCATGGCTGGCCACTTGTCCGATGTGTGGTATCTTTATTCGCAATTGTTTTGTAGCTCTGTCCTCTATAGTCCATGGCTAGCCACTTGTCCGATGTGTGGTATCTTTATTCGCAATTGTTTTGTAGTTATGTCCTATAGTCCATGGCCAGCCACTTGTCCGATGTGTGGTGTCTTTATTCGCAATTGTTTTGCATCACGTGAGGATGCCGTGCTTTTGCTTGTAGTGCCAGATTAAAGAATGTTTTCTGGCGTACTTCAGCCCGCATTGCTCCATTTTGCAGATATACGGGCCTGCCGTCAGCTCCGCCTTATCGGCTAGGAGACTGACAGCACTACAGCCGTTCGTGTAACCATGGACGTCTGTTTGGTGCTTCGACCTGGACGGAGAGCTGGTATACCGCTGACCGCAGTTATTGATTGTGCACAGATATCTCTTGTGCATGGTATCGACATGCCTGTTTAATGTGCTCCGAGCTGTGTACTGCTTCTCACATCCCTTGAAGCGACACTTGTACGTAATTTGTCCTGAGGTACACCCCGCTGACTCCTTCGCACGTTTCACTCTGTGCACTGTATCGACATGCCTATGCAATGACCAATGAGTTGTGTATTGCCTCACACATCCCCTGATGAAACACGTATAAATGGCTTGTACTGTGGCAAGTCTGTGCGATGTCTCCGTGCCTGCTGACTCCCTCATCCCCTTCGCACGCTCTAGTACGTGCACTGCATCGACATGCCTATTCAACGACCCTGGGGTTGTGTACTGCCGCCCACAACCCCGGGCGTCGCACCTGTACATAAGTTTTTGTCCGGTGTGTCTCCGCAATGGCCTCGTGTTATCTGACTTGGGCTCTTGCGGCGTACGCGTGGACCTGTTCCGCGTGGTCGTACTGGCTGTGGCATTGGCCGTCTCTGTGCCTTGGTCCTTGGCGTGTGGCAGTGTAGTCGGCTTCCCCCCAACCGCCTCTGCCTTCGCACCGCGGAATACGCACACTGACCAGCGTTTGCTACGCTTCGACCTCCGCAGTCTGTGCGTGGCAGTTTGAGTCGGATGTTGGCCCAACTCCTTTGCACCCGCGGCGGCCGGAGACATCTCCAACCCCTCTACAGCTGCGCTGCAGTCTGGTGGCTGGTCGGTGTTGCGTGCGCGTGGCGACACTCTGCACTTCTTGGTAGCCTTGCGCCTGTCGCTTGGGCCACGCCTCTTCAGTGCGTGTGTAGGGTTCTCATCCAGGCGGCTATCCCGTTGCGTTGCATCCTGTGTGAAGCATGCCCTTGCCCGGCCTAGGCCTGTGGGCGTACCCCCCAACCGCGCCCCACTTGTGATTGAGCCAGCATCAGCGTTGCTCAACACCTCAGTGCAACCGATCTCGAGCACCGAATCCGCAGGGTCCACTACTGTGCGTTGGTCATGTGTTAGTGAGCAGTTTGCAGTGGTGGCCGCAGCAGCCGACATGGCTTCGTGAACAATTGAGAGGGGTGTGTCACTGACTACTCGACTTCGCTCGGGTCTGCGGTTACTTTCGCTTGTGTGATCGAGTACGGTTTGGGGGATAGGGGGTGGATGCCCGGGAACGATATTGGAACTGGTGGTGACTGCAGGCTTGAAAGCACCCGCCACAGTGGAGCTGTCTGCGACTGTGGGTCCAAAAGCGTTCGCCACTCTGCACCCATTTGTGATTCCAGGGCCACCAATCAGGACTTTGGGCCAAATTGCGCCTGTCGGAATAGGTGCGAAACCCATGCCAATGACAACTTTACGTTGACTGCCTACAGCCCCGTCTGAGGGGTTTGTGCTGATCACCGGTGTGTCGGTACCATTGGTCGGGCTAATGAACCCTTCAGCGACAGCTTGACCACGTGCCGCCCTGGGACCAAGTACGCCAGCACCATCGCGTGCTTCCTTGTGGTTGCCATTGGCAATGGGACCAGATGTGACTGTCGTTTCAGTTACGGCTATGCCGTTGCTTGTGTTGAAAGGGGGAGGTGCTGTGCCACGTTCAGGTTTTTGTTTCGCGAGGGAGCACGCGTGTTGTCGCAGCGATGACTCATAGGGGACAGTCCTGTCACACCCGTCAGTGGGGCATGTGAACCCACCGCCGTTTGCCTGTGTCTGGTGGAAGGTCGTGTGCTGGAGCAACTGCGAACGATAGAGGAACGGCCTGTGACACCCCTCAACGGGGCATACGAAGTTCGGTTTGGAAGATTTCTTATGGACAGCCGCGTGCTTTAGCAGGGACGGATGATTAGCGAAGGACTTCTCGCACCCCACAGACGTACACGTGAACGCTGCCGCCTTGGCGCGTACCGCCTTCTGACCCGTTGCGGGTGGTGCGTGGTGGTGTGCGTGCTTGAGAAGTGACGATCGCTTGGGGAAGCTGCGGCTGCACCCGCCAAACGAACACGTGAACTCTGGGGCCTCATCCACAGGGCAGGCGGCTCCTCGCCTGGACCTACGAGTCAGCGACTGTGATGTACTCGCACGCCGAGTGGACGCGGTATGGACGCGCGGAGCGCGCGCATGCCTTGCCTGTCCGAAGGAGGTGTGTTTGGACAGGGTTTTGTCTATAGGTAACACACCATCGCGCAGTGTGTGGGTGATGGTGTGGTGTCTCTTCAGAGACGAGCTTTTAGGGAAAGACCTCCCACAGCCAGGCATGCGGCACGTGAAGTGGTCGGCTGTAGGGCCGTCAGAGGCATTGTGCGTTGCTGCGGTGGTCTCAGTGGTCCGCGGATCATCGAGAACTGCGGACACAGCTGAAGCATTGGGTGATGGAGGTCAGTCAGTGTAGACGTAACGAATGGTCACAGACAGCCTAGTTTTGGGACGAGATACGCCCCGAATACAGTTGGAACTGGTCTGAGATTAAAGCAAAGCTCAGCTCATAAATGAATGGAGTGTACATATGGACATAGGGCACGCACGTACGCATGTACGATGAGCGTACCTTCTGCTTTGACTTGGAATCCCCGATTCTCTCGCCCGAATCGATGGCTTACAATCGTCGGCCCAGGGCATGTCTGACAGTGGCCGCCTATCTGCCAATCGACCAGCTGCAACAGCACATAATAATATGAACATTTATCACGAGGTCTCCAAACATGGGAGTATAGCGCATCCGAAGTGTAACAGAGAGCAAACGCATCTCGACCTCCTCACCTGACAAGCCGGGCCGCAGTATGTCTGCACCTTACAAACACACGAGAACTGTGCCTTTAGCTTGCATACGACACAACAGGGAGCAGGCTGTGCAGATGTGACGTCCATGTTGCAGAGGAGTGGCCAACGGCTGTCCGTATACCTGACGTACGTAGTGCCATAAGATCAGTTTAAGTATATATACATTCTGCTGTTGGTTTTACGTGGCTTCTAAGGTGCATACTTCTACCAGATGTTTAGTTACACGTGTTTGACTACGTATAAGCGTCAATAAATCAATGAATATGCTCAATATTCCTATCTTGAAAGAAAACTCGATGATATGTATGTCCAGATATAACAATAGCATCTATATATATGCTATGACAGTTCAATGTCCGTGTGAAATCTATATAGATACGTCTATATATATGGATATATATGTATATATATATATATATATGTGTGTGTGTACATATATATATTTATATATAAATATG